AAACACAAGCTTAAAGAGCTCATCAATGGTGGTTTTGGGTGGTTGCAAATATTGATGACAATGGCATTATGGTAAATAAGGAGAAATGTTTAGGGTGTAATAGGTTTTTAATAATTTTCGAAAATAAAATCAGATTTAAAAATAATGGCAATTTGGTAAATAAGTGGAAACATGAGGAGAGTTTAGGTTTTTTAAGAGTAAATAGTAATGGACAAAAAAAAAGAGGTTGGTTTTGTGTTTGACTTGAAATTTTAGGTTGGTTTTGCAAAAACCCCAATAAATATTATGAAAATACTTGTATATTTAAGCGATAAATATAACTAATTTGTTTGGACTTAACTAAAATAAAAAGTAATTATACTTCAATTTTAACACAATATACTCATAATTAACATCCAATATAACTTAATTTATATCCAAAATTAAACATTTAACTACAATAACAACATATAATTTTATAGTAATAATAATCTATTTAATTTTCTACATATAAATTAGAGGTTGACTCAAAGCATATCAAAAAGAAAAAGAAAATATTAAACAATTACAATTTATTCTTTTGTAGAATTTGTATATATGCATGAGACTTTAAAATATTATCATTATATTCATTTATGTAATTTTGAATCAAACACTTCAGCTTATTATTTATTTTAGTTTAAGCACAATATATATATAGATTTATTAAGTTGTATATAATTTAACTATAATATATTTACATATGTAAGACAATAACAAACCGAAATGAAAAGAAGAAAATTGATTAAAGTCTTATTATATTTACAATAAAATATTAAAGCTGAATTCAAAAATAATTATTATCCAATATACCAAATTGATAACCAAACCGACTATTGATCTAAAAAATAATTGAAGCGACAATAATATATCCAAAGTCATATGCATAATTAGAATAATTTAATATTTATTAATATAAATTATACATATAAATTTATACAAAACTAAATATCAATCAATTATTATAAATTTTACTTTTATGAATATTTATACCCGTGCATGAGCACGGGAAAATCACCTAGTAAAATTATATATAGCTAGATTATTAATTTATGATTTTAGTGAGACCATATATTTACATGGCAGTTTTAAAAATATTATTATCTTATTATTTTATCGATATATATCATATTTTACACTGATCCAAGTCAGGACTGGTGAAATTTATTAATTTATAGAGATTATTAATTTATCAAGTATTATTTTTTAGAGTTTCTACGGTAAAAGGAAGAAATATTTGTATAAAACTGAAGAGTCAGTGGTTGCTTATTATGGGTTCATAACCGTCTCTATGACATGTAATTAATTTAGTGAAGACACAATACACATTAGCCTAAGCCCTAAGAGTATGTTAAATGCAAAAAATAAGAAAAACAAACACAAAGACTCTCTCCCTCGCTCGATCTCAAAGATTTCACCGACTTATCGGAGTTTGGATCGGAGACTGTATCCGAGAATCCACGGAGAATCCGTAGACGATCTTGGATCTGTAACATCAAAAGAAGTGGATCAGGAATAAGTCTTAATGGTGAATTGGTGACCATCATTCAGGTTCTAGAAGGACAGTCTCGTGGAGTGGAAGCTTCAACAACTCTTTTACATCTCCAACGTGTCCATCACCATTCAAACCAAGCCCACTGTTGCAGCAGTAGCTTGGAGCAGTTCCAACGTTGGTATTTGATAGGTATCTTAAAAAGTTTCAAAATTTGAAAATAGTATGTGAGAGAGTGTAAATCGATTCTCTATATACATACTTTCTCTGACATTAAAGAACTTCTTTCTCCACTTGGTATCTCTTTAATGGTCAGTTATTTTTGTTCAAATAATAATGTTTGTCTTTTAACTTTTAAGAACTTTTGAGAATATGCACCGTTAATGTTGCTCTTAAGAGATGAACTTCAGGAAGTGGAACTGTAAGCTGAATTTGTAATATCCAAAAGGTTTACTCGCTGTCAGAGATAGTCCATTCAAATGTTAATCCATGAGTTTACCTAATACAAAAAAGATTATTATAGTTGTTGTCAGTGATAGGGGTAGTGCTCCAAGGAATTTTAGGACTAGAAGCAAACAGAAAATAATTGGCCACTTTTCTGGAAAAAAAAAGGTGCATTAGGTAAGCTCGAAGCTAGGTTGTATGTGAAGAGAGGAGTTGCAAAACGTTATGTTACACCACTTGAATCAGACTGTTAATAAATTCTCTTACCACTAATTTTAATTGTCTTTTTGTGATTATATTCTACATAGATGTAACGTTAAACGTTATGTTTTACACTATTTTGTACTTTATTCGATGTCTTTGAGTCAATTATTTGTAATTCAAATACACCAAGAAACTAAATTACTAAGTGATTATATTATCCTC